CCGATCTTCAGTTCAGTAGCATCAGTGGTGAGTCCTCATTCTTCGAGGACTAGTGACATGTTTATCTTTATCGCTTTTAGTCTTTAGTTTCAGTTTTTGCTAGATCTAGTTGGGGCATGTCCCAACATTTCTAGTCAGTTTAGAGGCTTATTTCAGACATAGTTAGATTCAGCTTAGTATTTTGAGTTTGATATTTCTTTTGTATTAAACTCTCAGATTTGATATATTCAGTTATAGTATATGGGTATTCCCCATCTTTTCATCTTATGTATGATTTAGCTTCCGCGTCAGTTTATTATCTTTAGTATGCTCATGATCATGCCAGCAGGGTTAGCTTGGGATCACTTGTGGTCCTAGGTCCCGTGTCCGCGTCTCGGCCAGCTCAGTTAGAGTGTGAAATTGCTAATTACTCTCAAAGAGGTCTTTCTGTTCAAGATTATTTTTCTGGATTTCAGAATTTATGGGCTGAATTTACAGATATTGTCTATGCCAAAATACTATTGAATCTTTATCAGTGATTCAGGCAGTTCATGAGCAAAGCAAGCGAGACCAATTTTTGATGAAATTACGCTCCGACTTTGAGAGTGTTCGCTCTAACTTGATGAATCGTGACTCGTCTCCTTCTTTGGATGTTTGCTTTAGGGAATTACTTCGTGAAGAGCAACGTCTTGTCACACAAAATACTTTCAAGAAAGAAAATGATGTCACTGTTGCATTTGCTGCTCAAGTTAAAGGAAAGGGCATGGATATGAGTAGAACTCAATGTTATAGTTGCAAGGAATATGGTCATATTGCTAGCAATTGTAGCAAGAAGTTCTGTAATTATTGTAAACAACAAGGACACATTATCAAAGAGTATCCCATGCGCCCTTAAAATCGTAGGATCAATGCTTTACAAGCTGGGATAAATGGTTCCACTAATGATAACTCATCTTGAGGACAAGTTCTTACTCCTGAAATGGTACAACAAATGATCGTGTCAGCCTTTTCAGCATTGGGATTACAAGGTAATGATGTTACATCTAATTTTTGGATTGTTGATTCAGGTGCTTCCAATCACATGACCAACTCACCGAGCATCCTAAAAAATGTTCGTAAGTATCAAGGTCCATCACAAATACAGATTGTCAATGGTAGTAATTTACCCATTACCAAGGTTGGGGACATTACTCCAACTTTCAAGAATGTTTTTGTTTTCACCAAAGCTCTCAACTAGTCTTATTTCAGTTGGACAATTGGTAGATAACAATTGTGATGTGAATTTTTCTCGTAATGGTTGTCTTTTGCAGGATCAGGTTTCGTGGACGATAATCGCGAATGGGCCTAAAGTTGGACGATTGTTTCCTATACACTTTTCCATTCCTCCTGTTCTATCATTTGCTTGTACTTCTACTGCTAGTAAGACTGAGGTTTGGCATAAGCGTCTAGGACATCCAAATTCTGTTGTGTTGTCTCATTTATCAAATTTTGGTTTATTGGGAAATAAAAATCACTTTTCAATTGCTTCCATTGATTGTTTTACTTGTAAAATAGGCAAAAGTAAAACTCTTCTTTTTCCTAATTTTGGTAGTCGTGCTACAAAGTGTTTTGATGTCATTCATAGTGATGTTTGGGGAATTTCACCAATTATTTCTCATGCTCATTTCAAATACTTTGTGACATTCATAGATGATTATAGTCGATTTACATGGGTGTATTTTCTTCGATCCAAATCTGAGGTATTTTCCATGTTCAAGACATTTTTGGCTTACATTGAGACTCAATTTTCTACATGCATTAAATTATTAAGATCTGATTCTGGTGGAGAATATATGTCTTATAAATTCAAAAAATTCTTGCTTGACAAAGGAATTGTCTCACAACACTCTTGCCCATATACACCACAACAAAATGGAGTTGCTGAACGAAAAAATCGTCATCTTTTAGATGTCACTCGTACTTTATTGATTGAGTCCTCTGTACCAGCTAAATATTGGGTGCAAGCTTTGTCTACTGCCGTCTATTTAATTAATAGATTGCCATCTAAAGTGCTAAATTTTGAGTCTCCATATTTTTCTCTTTAGCACCAAAATCCTAACTATAGTGATTTTCATACATTTGGTTGTGTTTGTTTTGTGCATTTGCCTCCTTCGCAGCGCAATAAACTTTATGTACATTCTACTAAATGTGCTTTTATGGGTTATAGTACTTCACAAAAAGATTTTATTTGCTATGATCCATGTTCTCACAAATTTTGTATTTCTAGAAATGTTGTTTTCTTTGAGAATAAATATTTCTTTCCTACGATTGTAGATCCATCTTATGTTTCTCCTCTTCTTCCTACTTTTTGAGGATTTATCATCTTCTTTTAAGAGGTTCAAACCTGGATTTGTGTATGAACGACGTTGGCCAACTTTTATCCTATCCCGACACTGATCCGCCACCTGAAACTGTACCACAACTAGAATCTGAGAATTCTTCAAGATCTGGTCCTCTTGAGCCTACTCGGTGATCTACCAGAGTATCTCGTACTCCCAATTGGTATGGATTTTCCTCTACTTTATCCAACATATCTGGTTCCATCTTGTTACTCACAAGCTTCCAAGCATGAATGTTGGCAGAAAGCAATGGAGGAAGAACTTTTGGCTCTTAAAGAAAATGACACATGGGACATTGTTTTATGTCCTTCAAATGTCCGCCTTATTGGATGTAAATGGGTTTATTCAATCAAACTTCATTCTGATGGATCTCTTGATCGGTACAAAGCTCGATTGGTTGTTCTTGGTAACAGACAAGAGTATGGAGTGGACTATGAGGAGACTTTTGCACCCGTAGCCAAAATGACTACGGTGCAAACTATTATTGTCATTGTTGCTTCACAAAACTAGTCTTTGTATCAAATGGATGTCAAAAATATTGTTCTCCATAGTGATCTTAAAGAAGATATTTATATGAAACCTCCACCTGGTTTGTTCTCATCACCTACATCAGATGTATGCAAGTTGAAGCGGTCTTTGTATGGATTAAAACAAGCTCCAAGAGCTTGGTTTGATAAGTTTCGGTCTACTTTGCTACAATTTTCTTTTGAGCAGAGCAAATATGACTCATCTTTGTTTCTTCGGAAAACATCTACAGATTGTGTTCTTCTTTTGGTGTATGTAGATGCCATTATTATCACAGGAACTGATTCTTCACTAATCACTAGCCTCCAACAGCAACTTAAAGATTATTTTCATATGAAAGATCTTGGTACTCTTACTTATTCTTTGGGTTTGGAAGTTCATAATGTTGCTTCAGGAGTGTTTCTAAACCAACACAAATATACTCAGGATCTGATTTCTTTGGCTGGTCTTCAAGATTCATCCTCCGTAGATACTCCATTGGAATTGAATGTGAAGTATCGTCGTGAGGAAGGCGATCTTCTTCCTGATCCAACTATATTTCGACAATTAGTTGGGAGTCTAAATTACCTTACTATTACTCGGCCTGATATCTCTTTTGCAGTTTAACAAGTTAGTCAATTTATGCAAGATCCCCGTCATCTCCATTTGGTGGTTGTTCGTCACATCATTCGGTATCTTCTAGGAATATCTACTCGTGAATTGTTCTTTCCAAGTGGTTCTCCTATTCGTCTTAATGCTTTTAGTGATTCTGATTAAGCGGGATGTCCTGATACTCGTCGTTCAGTCTCTGGTTGGTGCATGTTTCTTGGAGAATCATTGATATCTTGGAAGAGTAAAAAGTAAGATCGTGTGTCAAAATCTTCAACAAAGGCTATCGATCCATGTCTACTGCTTGCTCTGAGGTTGTATGGCTTCGTGGATTACTTGCTGAGATTGGATTTCCTCAATCTCATCCTACTCTTCTCCACGCTGACAATACTAGTGCTATTCAGATTGCTACTAATTTAGTTTTTCATGAGAGGGCCAAACACATCGAAGTGGATTGTCATTATATAAGAGAAGTTGTAGATAAATGAGTCATTACTCTTCCACATGTGTCCAGCGATCTTCAAATAGCTGATGCGTTTACAAAATCCATGGCACGGCAACGCCATCAGTTTCTAGTTGGCAAATTGATGTTTCTTGATCCATCAACATCAATTTGAGGGGGGATGTTATCATGATGGACAGCTAAATGATTGTATATATTAATGTAATTATATAGTGATAGAATAGCTGATTTGGAGGGATAGCAAGGCAGATTTAGGGGGATTGAATAGCATATTTGTAGAGATAGAATAGCTGATCTTTAGGGATAGGAATGGCAGATCTTTAGGGATGTGTAATCTTTATTTTCTCTATATAATGGAAAGACTCTCACTTTGAGAGGCATTAAGCAAAAAATTGACACATTTAACATGGAATGTTTTGGGAGAGAAAAAATTCATTCTTGGAATGAAAAAATATCATAAACATGTGATGAAATTTTTCTTTGTCAAGTCACATAATATTGAAAAATTTGTGAAATACAATTTTGTTGATTGTGTGAGTCTTGAACTCCTTTTGATTCAATTGTGTGAGAAAGTTGTGGCAAATAAAAAAAAAGGAGTTTGCTAGCTAATAAAAATATGAGCTATGTGACTAACAACTTGACTTAATGTTGTGTTTGCAATAAAGTACTTTGAAGGTACAAGCAAACTAGATGAGAAAGATTTGGTGTTATTTGGTGGGATGAGAAAAGCAAATTATTTTTTGCTAACTCTATTATAGAGGTTGGTGTAAAATATATTAAACTTCAACTACTGAAAAAGTGAATTGAAACACTTTCTTTTGAGAAAATATTTTTTCTAATTTTGATTAATTGTGATAGCACCAATTGGTTGAATACAGAATCGTTATTATAACGGTAAATTCAGATTCATGTGAAGAAAACACAATATTGTGATACCATATTGATCACTGGTCTACCATCAATATTAATTGTGTTAAAATTTGTGATAATATTGCATATTTATAATCCAAGGCCTTAGCAAGATAAAGAGTTTGAAGGACATCGAAGGGGATGAAATTGAAGCTAAAAAAGTTCTGAGTCATATATGAGGAAACCCAACTTGGGGACTAGAGATCCTATAACCAGGTTCAATGAGAAGAGCGAATCATATGCTGACTTGTTGTGAAATGCACTATTCTTAATTTTATTCAATCCCTATGATGTAAGTGCATTTATCCTATAATGATTTGTGGAGGTTGAGTCTTGAACTCTTGATGAAATTATGTATCTCGTATGAGTGGGGTGTCAAATTATAGGAGCATCCTTGACAGATTTCACCTACTTGAGTATGAAAGTAAGTCGCATTCTATGGGAATGGGCTTGTTCTCAAAAACACTCATGAAACAGGGATAACACAAGGTCGTAATGTGCTGGCTATTAAAGCTTATGTCAACACTTGATTGTTGTGTGTAACCAGTGATATTTTATTTCCATTAAGCAGTCATAGTTCAAGTCTGAGACCACTACTGACTCTGGAGTAAAGGTTATTGTTTTACTAAGTGAAAGTTCAATGCAGAGCACACCTTCATTAGGCATAGTAGTCTACCTTCAACTAAGTTGTGAAGAATTCTCTTATCTTAATATTAAAATGAGTGGGGGATTGTTGGTGTGACATTTTAATATTAATTAAAATATATTATATGTCACATTATATATCATGTTAAGTCTGTGGACATTACATTTGTTCTCTTTGCTCTCATCAATAGTGGAAGAAAGTGGTCATTAGTTTAACCACCAACTCTTCATTTCACCCACTATTCTATCTTTAAATCTTGTAACTTATGTAACATTTGGGCCATTCATTTGGCAAATTTACTACCCACTACCTTCCTATTCATTGCAGGGAAGAATTCATCACCTATAAATAGTGTGGTCTTTCTTTGTGAGAGAATAAGAAACAAGAGAAGTACAAGAAAATATAGAATGAAAAAGATTAGTAGTATTTTATTGTGTTTATATTGAGACTAGTTTCTGGACACGTGCGAAACGTGTGTCCCATACAAGTAGTTCATACAAAATAAATCATATCAAAATACATTGTAATGAATAATAGAATAAAGTGAAAAAGTACAAGCTAAAATAGATGAATAGTCAACTTATATTCAAATGACTTCTTGAACAATATTAGATGATTAAATACTATTTGAAACTACAAAATGAAACAACTAAATTTATCTAGATAGGTAAAATGTATAATGAATTATATTTTGAGCATCATTTAATGTATTGATACATTACATGATACTCTTTCATAAGTATGTTCTTGATGTGTATTCCATTTATTGTTTTGATTACCGATTTCAACGGTTAGAGTAGTTTTATTCATCCACTTTAATTATATAATTAGGAAAACATTAATAAACATATATCACCAAAATATTATATATGAATACCTATTCTTTTTTCATTTTATCCACTTTTTTTTTACCAACTTCAGCAAATTTAAGGTATCAAAAATTGAAGTTTCAAACAACTTCAAGCTAAGCAAAGACTCAAAGCTAATGGTAAAGGTATGACATATAAGAGGACCAAAAGTCAATCTCTAACATTTCTATGTCAATACATCAGTTTGATTTTAACTCATAAACATGAATACAAGAAACATTGATAATTTATAAAACTTAAAACTCATAAAATATTATATATATAAACAAGAAAAATATATTTTTACGAACACGTTCACAGAAAATAACAAAGCTGAAAAATGAACTTACTCTTTAAAATCTTTCCTCTACTGCTTCCCCTAATGGAGAGAGTTGTACATATTCTTGATTTATGAATTCATTTATATAAGTTGATCATTGAGCATAATTTAATGGAATAGATAAGATCATTCATTATCAATTAAGTTAGGTAACTAAAGAAAATCAAAAGTTTTATTGTTGGAGACGAAAAGACTTAAACTATGATACAATGTTCTTTCCAACTTCCAAACAACAGCTACGTACAGCCATTGTTATGAGATCTATACATTGCAAATACAAAAAAACTAAGAAAAAGAATGAACAAAAATTACACAAGAAAATGTTTTGTTGAGAAAACATTGTATTCTAAATTAGTACATATTAAGATAATATGCTATAATAAGTATAGATAGATGAACAAATATAGCATGTAGAAGCTTCAATCAAACTAATAAATGTTGGAATATGAAAAGGTTGTATTCTAATTAATATTGAGGAAATTTGCTACTATAATAATTACTGGCAGATAAACCATCTATTGCTTATCCGGTTCAATGCATATGATTATTAATAAGTTTTATATTTTAAAATTATAGTTGCTGGACTTTTAATGTTATCTTTATAGAATTAAAATAATATTATTTATTAAGAAATTTGATTAAATTTATATTTAGTGTAGGGATAAAATGGTAATTCAACTTTTCACTTTGGAGCTTCCCACTTATAATAATATATGATTAGTGTAGTAGTGAAAGAGAGAGTTGAGACAAAGAATAATATTCTAAGTCTTCAACTATATTCACTATATACTAAAGAGAATATTTATATGTTGAAGGAAGGTGTTCTTATGTGGAGTTTTGGACTCTTCAACTAATCCGGAGTTGCTTGAGTTGTACATGTTGTTGGGCTATTGTATCCTAGAGGGGACAAGTCAAGAGTATTAATGTTGGATCGGTGTAGATTATGTCGCAGTGGGCTTGAATCTCCTTAAAGAGAGCGAGATATCCGCGCCTCAA